CCTTATGGCCCAAAAAAAAAAAAAAAAAAACCAGGTCCTTATGGCCCTGGCTCCATGTCCGGTCTTGGGAGCATCAGTCCGGTTCCTATGCACCGGCAAGTCAGATGTACATAAGGACACCCTCACGCTTCCTTCATTTGGCCGAAGGACCCCTGATTGCTCCAGTTGCCTGGAGGATTGACTGTCAACTTACATTCCCTCTACATTTCCTCTCAGGCTGGGTTCCCCAAATCTGCCGAATTCAACTTGAACCAAGAAAAAACAAGGGAATGCCGGTACCACCGGTCCCTTATAGTGTCTGAACTACCAGACTTGCAGTTCCAAGCTTGCGAGTTGTCGAACGCTAGCCTTGCTCTCAGACATGTGATCATATCAGGTGGCCTGTGTCGAGTCCTGACTGTCTGGTGATCGCGTCATCTGCCGTCCCATCCCCACTTCTGAGTTGTGCCAGTCTGTCCACCTTATGCTGGGACCATTTATGCCTGCTAGACAAACCTTTGTGAACTTAGCTCTGATTTTTTATGCAGGTCCTGCTCGTCTGGCATAGACAGCTTGATCTGCTGCCGTTTGCATAGAATCTCAGCTTAAATCAATAGCCTGAGGTGGCCGCCCAGACACTCTCCCATGGACTAGAGAAATCTTCCAAAGCTCTGCTGCACCTTTCCTTCCATATAGACCAGCCAGAGGGTCACCTTTCTTATCATATCTGTACCAGGTCCTCTCCGTAAAGTGGGAAGGAATGCTAGTCCATAAGAGGAGTTGGGTCTGATGTTCAGGGAAGGGGGAAACAGAACCTTACGGTTCTGGCTCCGTTCTATTCTGGGGAGCATCATTCCGGTTCCTATTCCACCGGCAAGTCAAAAAAGAGTTACAACAGTTACTCACACACACTCCTCCCGAATTTGGTTGAGAGGCCTGAGGGGACGGCACTGATTACTTCCCATAGGAAGGATGTACCACCCCTCACCCCTGCCTAAGTTAGCCTACCTGACTTAACTTCTGCAGTTGGACCCTATCCTATCTACTATAACTTCTGCTAGCCAAAGACTTTTCGCCCATAGAGGCCTTGCCCTGCTTGTTCCTCTCGGCTATTTGGCTGTCAGGTTTTATGATGAGTACTGGAGTTGCTAGGTAGGTGTTGCATGCTGAGCCTGCCACACGGGCACCGTCTTGGGGGCCTGACGTTTGTTGAGGTCTCCCAGGCCGTGCGCCCACTTTCATGCACGACCTTTCCCAAGCCACGCAGGTTCAGTTTTGAGGCAGCATTCATTTATTTATTTATTTTATTTTATTGTTGTTTGCTGACTCTCTTGGCTGTTCTATTTTTGTCTGTTCCAGGGCGTCGTTTCGGACTTTGCAGTATGTCCGACTAGTGTCTGTTCGGACCAGGACCACATTTGGGGCCTTGGAGGGGGCAGGGAGTCGTCCGGTAGTGGACTTCTCCTGCTGCATCGGCAGGAGAGCCTGGACGTCCGGTAGGGACCCAGGCAGGCCGTTTTTAGGCCTAGGACCAGGAGCAGGACTTTTGCCTGCAACCTGGACCGTCGATCGGACTCACAATCGCACGGCCCTGGTTGCAGATTACGGGCACACCAGCCAGGCCCAGCACTATAGATAGTTGGGCCGGTCTAGTGTTTGGACAGACAGGAGTTCCCACTCCTTTGGGCGACATGCTGTGGGAGCAGCGGGCTATTTTCAGCACTGTGCTACTGTAGAGGTAGAGGTAGAGGTAGAGGTGTAGGAGCTAGGAGAGGTGAGGGAGAGGCGGTGGCCATACCTGCGACCTACAGACAGCTTACCTGGGTGCCATAGCTGGTTCCTTCGCCAGCGACATGCAGCACAGAGGGGCACGCCAGCTTGTTAGTTCGCGGCAGCAGTTACCTGCAGGTGAGACAGTGGAGAGTTCGACATCATCTTCTTCTTCCTGCTCTCGCCCTCCATATCTTCCTGCCTTCTTCGTCTCCCTCGTTCCTCTTCTTCTTTTTCTTCTTCTTTCAGAGAGAGAGAGAGAGAGAGAGAGAGAGAGAGAGAGAGAGAGAGAGAGAGAGAGAGAGAGAGAGAGAGAGAGGTTACGTCGGGCTACGGGGCCCGGGATCTGATTCGACATCACAGGGGCAGACATTGATTGGACATTCAACAGGGAGACTATTTTGGAGTGCGCTATCGCGATCTTGGTCTTCTCCCTCATCTCCATGTTCATCTTTCTCTTCCTCCATCCTCTTATCCGTGGTTCTCCCATGTGCATGTTCAAGGAGGGGCCTTTCTTCCAGGTATGCGGTCCCTCCCTTCTCTCTCACATTGTGGTGTGTGATGGGCTGAGTCGAGTCAGTGTCCGACAGGTTGGATCGTATCTTCGAGTCTTCCACTGCGCTACATTATGCCATTTTTGTATGTATATGGACATACATTGCTTGTTGATGCTTCGCTGATGCTGAATTGTCCATTTGAGTCCTTATCATCACTTCACTGATCCTTTGGCTTCATCTGCATTGCTCGGATTATTCCGAGCCTGCATCAGTTGGTATCGGAGCCTAGAGAGTGAATCTGGACTAATCTGACCTGGCGCATAATTAGGGATCGATCGACTGATTGATTGGTGGATTGATTGATTGAGTGATTGATTGATATTGACGGATTGATCGATTAATTGATTGATTGATTACTGCATTCACACTCTGATTATTCACACTTGTCTTGCATGCAAACAGCGATACAGCAACTGGCGACATGCGCCCTGACAGTACTTAAGATATCGTAACCAGATATTAGTTCTCTTCAACTGGCTATGGCGACTGGGCGCCCACACAACTCACTGTTCGCACTCTGGATCACCCTGGATGTCCCACACGCAACACTCAGTATCATAC